AAAGTTCTTATGGCTAAAACCCATCAGACACAAGATTCAGTTGGATCATATTCCTAAGGTTAAAATCCAAACAACGTTTGAACTCATAAATTTCATCAAAGGAATTGAAGATCTTGTTAAAATTCTTGTTAGAAGAATCCAAAGTAACAATGACTCTGAATTCTCTAATGCCTCCATTGAAATATTCCTCACCGACAAAGGCATCGACCACAACTTCTCAGCTCCCTACATTCCTTAGCAAAACGGTATGGGAAAATGAATAAACTAAACTCCCATTGAAGTTGCTTGATTGATGCTAAAATTTGTAAACCTTCCTCTCTATCTTTAGGTCGAATCCGTTTTACTGCTTGCTTCATCCAAAATCAAATTGATGTCTCAACATGACATCTTATGAAGCCATGAATGGTCGCAACCCAAGTATCTCATTCCTACATGTTTTTGGTTGTCGATGCTTTATCAAAAGAAACCATGATCAAATCACCAAGTTTTGACCCAAAGCCGATGAAGCCAAATTTTGGGGTTACTCAACCAATCAATTCACTAAATATGATCCTATTTCGAAAAAAAAACGAAGACGATGCCAACACTTTTGACTTTCCAAACAATGACGATGTTGACATATCCTGTTCAGAAGTTCAAGGGGAGAATCATCCTCAAATTCAAATTTTTCAGGGGGAGCAACATAAACTCATTGTTGATATCGGATCATCCACTACACCTGAAATTTCAGGATTGCGTATCTAGACAAATGATCATCACCCACATCAAGTCATTGGAAATCTTAATGCCGACGTTCTAAATCCTATGCTACCAACATTCAGAATGAGTGTCACATCTTGGCATTCATATCAATGATTGAACCAAAATCCATTAAGAAAGCTTTAGAACATGTTGATTGGATTATAACCATGCAAGAAGAGCTAGTAGAATTTGACAGAAATCATGTGTGGACTCTCGTCCTTCATCTTCAGGATCACCCTATTGTTGGTACAAGATGGGTCTTCTAAAACAAACTCGAAGACAATCAAGTTATAATCAGAAACAAAGCAAGATTGGTCAGAAAAGATTTTAATCAGATCGAAGGACTCGACTGCAACGAGACCTTCTCTCCTGTTGCTGGTATTGAATCCATCCAAATCTTTCTTGCTTATGCTACTCACAAAGGCTTTAAAGTTTACCAAATGGACGTCAAAAGTGCCTTTCTCAATGATGAACTCGATACTGAAGTGTATCTTCAATAACCCCATGGATTTGTAAATCTTTAATATCGAAACTACTATTACAAACTTCAAAAAGTTGTTTATATTCTTAAGCAAGTTCCACGCACCTGGTACGAGACTCTCACTAATTTTCTAAAGGATTCTGATTTTTAAAGAGGATTCTTGATCCCATGTAATTTCAAATATCAAATGGAAACCATATCATGTTAGTTCAAATATATGTTAACAACAACATCTTGATCAACAAATTCATTAATAGTTTCTAATTTCACAAAGTTAATGGTTAGTCGATTCCAATTGAGAAAGAATCGTTAATTGAGCTTCTTCCCCGGTTTTCAACTTAAGCATACCAACAAATGAATCTTTATTCATTAGGAGATATATATTTCTGAACTTTTGGAAAAATATTCAGTGGACACCTGTGCCTTTGCAAAGGTTCCAATGCGTTTCGAAAACAATTTCTTCTCGGACCCATCAGGTGTTGCCGTTGATTAGAAACCGTTTAGGGAAATGATTGGATCGCTACTCTAACTCACTTCAAGTCATCCATACATCATGTTCTATACATGTCTGTGTGCTAGATTCAATGTTAATATGAAGATATCTCATCTACTGGCTGTCAAGAAGATTTTCCTGTAACTTAAGGGAACCAAGAACCTCAAAATTCGGTATCTAGCTGATGAAAGCTTCCTTCTTCAAGCCCATTCCGAATAAAACTATGGAGGTCATCAAATGGATAGAAATAATTACATATTGACGTTTTCATTTTTTGGATTGAAGATTGGTTAGCTGGTCATCCAAGAAATAGAATTGCATTGCTCTCTCAAAGGCAGAAGCATAATACATCACTGCTGCAAGCTACTCTTCGCAAGTTCTTTGGATGAAATCTCTTCTTATGGATTATGGTTATCGATTTCAATAGATTCCAATCTATTGTAAAGTACAATGGGAATTTCTCACAATCTAATTCAGCAATCCATGACCAAGCACATTAACATTCAGTACCATTTTATTGAAGATCATGTTTTAAAATGAAACATTGAGCTCATTTTTTCTCCATCGAATGATGAAATTGTTGATGTACTTACTAAGGCATTAAAAGAAATAAAATTTAAAGGATTTTTGATCAAAATGGGAATGATGATGTCTAATCTACAATTCTTCCAAGAGGCTTGTACTCTCTAATGGATGCATTAGAAAGTAAAGCAATTATGAAGTCCAATTCTTTTCTCCTTAGAATTTTTCCCTCTTGGAAGATATAGGATCATTATATGTATCTTTTCTTCTAACGTATTATTCTAGTTTTAACTTGTTTTAGCCTTCCTCATCACTTGAGTTTTTGATCGATATTGTTACATAGGATTACATGATAAATTCCCTTTTTGAAGTATATGTCAAAAACAAGCATGTGTTATGAAATTCATCTCAGAATTCATATCTAAAATGGTAATATGAGTTTATCTTTTTTGTTCCTCCGAGCTCTGTTCCTTCAATTCTAGAAATATCAAATCTTATGAAACTGGTCCTCTATGATCTTCATGCATCTCTACCTATAATATTCATTTTGAGAATGTGCCATCTCGAACTTTATATTACGTAATAATGATGTGTTTATTTTCCTTCCGAAGTATCTTATGACATCTAATCATGGAATCTGGTTACTCTGAGATCCTCGGCAATAAAAGAATTTTAGGGTTGTCATTACAGTTTTTATCCAAAACATTTTTAATTAATACAATAATGGTAATTTTCTTAATGATTATCCTTTTAATTCTTAATAAATGTGATTTGGCACACTTTCCAATAAAGCAATGAGCGAAATCAAAACTGAAACGATGGTTTATTGTTTTGAACAAAAAAACATCCCATATTTTGTGTGCAAAAGTCTTTTAGGAAGCCATTATTGGCAATGCATTTAATGCGACCCATTTTGTGTTCGGTTGTCATCATCACTTTCTTCAACCCAACCTGAAATATCCAACCTATAAAAGGATTTTGAATCCTAAATGTTCCCACTGTTCACATGTGTTGTCGCCTCCTAAAGCCTTTATCTTTGTACTCTATTCTTCAAGCTCTCAAATGTTCATCAATAGTGTCTTCTTAAACTGATCCTCAAACTTCCAAACCTTCATCGAAGAAGAAATCTTCAAAAGGTTCTGCCTCATCTTCATCCACTGAGATCATTCTTAGAGAAACCACTAAACTATTTTCTGTTGATCCCATGGATTATGATGAATCCATCCACATCATGATCGAGTTCATCTCTCACTACCCCATATCAGCTCCTCTAACAAAAATTCCTAACCCCAGGGTTCCTCTTCGCATTCTTCACAAAGCATTTGAATGGATCAAGATTGAAGATGATGTATTGGAGGTGAAGATCGCTGATGATAAAAACATTCCTCTCCACAAGAACACCTTCCTTAAGAAATCGACATTACAAAGAATGCTAAAGGTTTTCTAGTTTAAGAACTAAAAATGGAATAGTTTTAGTAATTTCTGAATCAAATTGGGTATGATGGAGAATTCATGGAAAAGGAGTTCAAGAAGTCTATTGTTCCAGGCCTATGGACCATACTGATGCACTTAATTCTTTGCGGGGTATCCTATAAACATGGTGGTACATACACCATCAGCGTGGATTGGCTATATGTTGTATACAACATCCGGAAGAGACAATGCAGTTGAACTGACCGAGGTGCTATGGTAGGACTTTCGGAAATTCCCCAACAAGAGGAAGCCCAATAGGATATCCAGTCAGAGATTCTGGGCTTTGACGCTTCAATAACTGTACAATGAAAGTTTAGAATTCATTCCTCTCAACTCCGATCTCAAACATGTATATTGTACCTTTAAAGCTATAAAAGCTTATAGGTTACCGAACCAATCATCTTTTAGAGCTATCCAACGTTTTCCAGAACAAATAAAGTTTCACAATCTATCTCAAACATCATCATGAGATTTCGTTTATATATGACCCCATACAATCTACCATAATCTTGGATGATCGATCCTCGGATGTGAACAAATAAACTTCTTCAGGAGGAGGTAGGAAGAAGATGACCAAACGAAAGCAATTACCATCAAATGCTTGAGCCAAAAAGAGAATCAAAGCCAATGAATCTTCTCAACAAGATTCATAGATTAGCATTCAATATGACTCTAGATCACTACCTACCCCGCCATACACTCCTCCAATGTACCCTTCGGATTTTAAATATCACACGTATACAATCACCGTGAGTCTACATATAATTTACCCACATCTTCTAAAAAAGATGGTTCATATATTCAACATAGTACCTTGAATCCCCCTTGGACACACACATGAGTTATTTTGGAAATTCATTTTGGTTCTACACATAAACAATCAGGAGCACCTGTCTCTGACTCTAAGCTTTCCGAAGCTGGAGCAGTATCTCCTACTTCGAAATCCACAACCGGTTTGATACCTATTTCAGGTAAAGGACGATTGGGTATATTTGACAAAGACTCATCTGATTTTGTTAACAGGTCTCATACCAAGCATCTTAGCTCACCATAGCACAAGTAGATTACACACTTATTTCAGTGCGTCAACATGCTCTCTGAAGTTGTCTTCCATTCACTTTTCCATCCGATGAAGAGACTGATCAGACATTCAATCCTTACGAAGAAGCTCAAAGGACTACTACAGGAGATGTTCCTAGTTCTACACATGTTTTAGATGATCGTCTACCGACATTCAAAAGTGAACAAGCTCGCAAACCACCTACTAACAAGGATCTCTAAGATGATGTAATGTTCGAAAATGACAACACAATAGTTGGTGCTATTATGATCCTCACATCCTTCAATATGTGGCAAAATCCTTCCTCCTTGAAGTCATTTTATGATTTCTGTCTCTCCTCATCCTCCGAGGAATCCAAGGAAGAAGAACATAATGAAGACAACAAGTACTCCTCTCCCAAAGCTTTCGTGGAAATTGATCAAGGTAATGAGGCTCAATCCAATATGATTAATTACTCAACACCCTCCGAACCACATGGTGATATGATGATGACGATGATAAAAAGTCTGAGAGCTCTACCTCATACAAAGAATATTTAGGCGAAAACAGTGTAGATCCTTTTTCCCTATTAGAACTCCGAGACAATGTTCCCTTTGTTATCTCCAAAGTCAACGCCTTTGATAAGAAAGTTGCATGACTTGATTCAAAGATTGATCAAAAGGTTACAAGTCTTGAATCCAAGCTAGAGATCATGCTTAAATATCTTTCTGAGATCCAAGATGCCGCTCCTTTTGAAATGGAGCGAGCCGATCAACTCAACCAAATCACTTCCTTCTGGCTCAATTATAATATAGAAGAAGTTGAATAGAAGTATACTGACAGTCTCGATCATCATATCTCGACCACCACCATTATGCTAAAGATTCATGAAGACATGGTTAAGGCTACCAATGAACTCATGAAGCAGAATAATGTTTTTCATGAGAAACAGGTTCAAAGACTGGAAAAGGAGATTCATAAAAAGAATACCATGAACATGATAATGCAAGAGGTACTTATCAAGCTCATCCAGGACTCCTATAATGTTTTTGATGTTCCGAATAACAAGTTCTAGGAGATGCTTTTCATTCTGGATGAAACATTTACCCATCTCAAGGTTCAAGCTCCTAAAGTCGAGGCTTATGATGCTCTCGCAGAAAAACTCAACACCATATTTCAAAGATATTCAAACATTTGGAAGGAATCAAAATGAAATCTATACTTGCATTGGAGGTTGGGCCATCGCATGCAAGAAGGGGAGAAAGAGAAAGAAGTGAAAGAACGATACAATGGAAACTTGTCTCGAAGTTTGTGCTCCGAGATGAATAAATTGATGAAGAAATTCTCAAGGTTGAAGCTCTTGAATTAAGTAATAAAGAAGATGAAGACCTTGATGAAAATATGATCTTGGGACTTCAAGCCCTTAGGGAACAACTAGTAAATATCCTTTCGGAAGCAGAGAGGATGAAATGGTCTCCATTTTCTTGGTATCATCCTTAGCCGAAGTTTTCAGGAAAACTCGAGACATGGAAAATCTCAAGACCAAGCTGACTGTGACATATTCCAAGCTACTTAATCCATGCTTCCAGCAATGAATATTCTCCCACCTAGAACCTTGATGATCTCCTGAAAGATCCTGTGATTCCTCCTCCACCTGAAGTATTGATCATTGAATCCGATCAACAAATCATTTCCTTTTTTTGGCATGAGCAAATATCCATAAGACTAAGGCAAATAGATTTCAACATACTTTGACAGTCCAGTCAAGACATTAAGAAAGTTCGAGAGCTAGTCTCAAGAACAAATTGATCAACCTCTGTAAGAAAGCATTCATATTCAAGCACTAAGTACTATGATTTCCTGACATAAGTTACTAATTAACTTGACCTGCCAATGTCTCCTCATGGTAATTTCAATATCAAGTATGCTCCTCTACATTCAAATGATGATCCTCAATTAATCATCAGAACAGAGCGTTAGATATTGAGAACCTTTTACTCTGTCAACGCACGACCCCAAAAGGAAGTGTGGTCTCGGAAGAGGATTACCAAGATCATCGGATATGGTAACAAGGTTTAGAGAAACTTTGATATTTGAT